TTTACATTGTGATTTCAAATATTTCACTATTAGAGATGATAAAACAACTTATGTAACCCATCTCGTGTGGCAGTCTGAGGAAAATATAGCTCTTCAAAGAGTAGTTATTAATTTTATATGAAAAGTTATTTCAAAATTCATGTTTTTGCATAACACACATATACAGGTCTGTGTTCCCTCTGAAGGAAATGTGTGGGAGTAAAGTCAACAACAGATGCAGTCGGAGTAAAAACCGAGAGGGAGGAGTCAATGTGAAAGTAATTGAAGTAATTGAAATAGAACAAAAGTCTGTTTCTTCTGATAATAGTTCAGCCAGATTAGGAAACAAATAGTAATGTCAAAGGAGAAAGTAGAGAGGCAAGGATTGCAATTTTAAGTAGGAGTTATACAAATATTCTATTTAATAATTATAAAAGTTTTTATTCAGATCTTACCTTGGCTCTTTGTTAGGTAGCATAGAACAAACACACTTACCAGAATGGCAAACATCTCTCCAGCTTATAACAGCTCAGACATTTCTTACTAATAATGTCCGATGAGGATAATGGATATAGCAAAACAGCATTTTAATAGTGGCTTTGTTCCCGTGTTTTGTTTTTGTTTGTTTGGTAATTTCTTGCTTTAGTGCATACGCAGTCACCTCACAGACCAGCCGTCAATATAAAGCGAAAGAACAGCAACTTTGACCTTCTAGACATGACAAGATTTATCTTGACTGACATTTACCAGATTTGAGTCTCAGTTGACGTATTGATCAGTAAAACCATACAGCCAATGTTAAAGAATCTATCTATACACAGTAGAGTGTATATAGAGCTCCTGCATATAGTTAAAGTTGACTGTGCAGCAGAAAAGAGTAGTTCAAAAACTTCCTCAAACCACTTCTTAGTTTTATTCGACTACCTTTGGAAAAAAACCTCCATTGTTCCATTCAAGCATGTTTGTCCTCTGCTGACGTTTGACTATGCCATGTGTCTGAATGGTGTGGATCAATTTCTCCCTCGGAGCGAGCCAAACAAGAGTGCAATCAGTACTTAGCATTTAAGAACCAAGAGAGCAAGCCTGCCACTCACACTGACAATTCCCCAGACCCTTCTTTAAGGGTTTGTACTGAATGTTGCACTTTGACAGAATTGCGGTTTGTGTATTAATGAGGCAGACATGACAGAAATCACTCTTTCTCATTCTGCAATATAGCACAGTACCCTGAGGAATTAACGGGAACATGAAAGGTACATCTACAGCTGTCTGCTCATTGCTATTGATCTATTATGAATGTCAGTTTCCACTTTGGTTGTGATTCAAGCCGAGTTGGTTTATTGAGCATGCTACCTTACATATATAAAGTTTATTTGATGATATGAAATATCACGAGGGAGGGGCTTTTTTAACCGAGATAAAATTGAATACAATACATATTGTTTTTTTAATGCTGTCAGTAGATCTCAAGACCCATACAAAACCTCCTAATGGAAAGCTTAATGAATCTGATGTTTAATTGCAGAGTGAGAACTGTAATGAAGTCAGGCAAGTTATAGATTCATGAACAGAGAAACAGTTCTTTTCCAAAAAGCCACAATCTAGGAAGAGTAATTAATGTGCCTCAAGTAATCTAAATATGTGAGTGACTTTTTACTGACTTTTGACTTTTGTGGCGACCCAGCAAGCTCAGCAGAAACATTCTTTTTCTGTTTTTTCCTATATCGGTTACAACGCCACATAAGGGAATTATAACAGATGAGTCTCACATTCCTTAGCTGATCCATTAATTATGAGCCAATCTGATGACTCCTTTATTTGCCACATGTTTCAGAATCCAGATCCATTTATTATTCAGAAATGTCGCATTTTGTAAAACCAAAACCAAATTAGATGCGGAGGGGAGAAAAAAGTATTCATTATTTAAAACTTATGCTGTAATGAAACAATTCCTTACAGTGGTAAATTATCACTTACTGCAGTAGGGAACTTTGAAAAAATAATTTGTCAAGAGTTTGCTTCCTGGCACGTTTGTTACAGTTTGTGTTATGCTGTCTCTTGCACATGAACAAATTATCCACACTTGTTCTGTCATGCAGCTGCCAGCTAGTAAAGACTAAATCAAGTTGCATGATTAACTGACAAGTAGGTTCTCTCCACAGCTCTGGACTGTGATTTATTTGAAAGCAGATGTCTGATAACTGTTACTATGAGTGTTGATGAGACTGACACACACTTTCTGAATTTGAATCCCTTTTTATTGAATTGAACATTTTCATCAAACCTAGCTAGGGTTACTTGCATTGAAGGGTGGAAAGAGTGTCACATAATGTTTTTCTGATATGATCTGATAAAATTTGGTCTGACACCCACTAGCATTCAGTATTTTGTCAGAATCTACAATATCTTATTACCATGTTTACGATTTTCTCATGGTGCGAACTTATGTTACCACAGGTTCATGAAATCTCAATTTAAATAGCCTTCTGAAAACAATAGTGTGATGGAGTATTATGTGCAGCGTCTTGAAGGGTATTGCAATGTTAAGTGATATTAGATGCCAGCTGAGTGTTGATGCATTAGATCCCGGTTGATTTGACTGCCATAATGGCACTGCTCATCCAGAAGCAGAGAGCTGTCCTTGACAGGAAAACAATATGGGTGTTTTGAGGGATGACACAGTTGCCATTGATTGAGCACTATAATCATTCATACACTGAAAGGAAACCATCTCTTCTATTTCCAAGGCAAACAAGCAAACAAATGTGTAACTGACAGGCGGCTCTTTGCTGCTGTATCAAATGTTAGTCCTCTGCAGTGCTAAATAAAGGCTGTATTTTGTGCATAATTTACTCCAATAGCACACATAATCTCACAGTATGTGGTTTCTTGTAAGGTTTCAATAGGTTGCTCAGGAGCAACAATGGCTGTCTGTGTAATTGCCGCTATGTGGGTGTTTTACTGTTATGTTAGTGCTCGGTGTGCCCTAAACTGTACTATCTGCAATACAAAAGAGGAGCACAGACTCTCAAAATATTAGGCCCTTTTAGCAATTCACTGTGAACTCCAAATAAAGTTAAATCTGACAGGTGCAGGAAGACTTTGGGACCACTGAAGCTCAGCGTAAATTCAATCAGGAAGACCTTCTTACTATGCCTCATTCATCCACAATGCTCTCACTCGCCTTTCTAATCAGCTATGGGCGTTTACTCTTTCAGTTAATCCAATCAGACTTTGCCACAATCTCCTCCAGCCAACCATGTTGCTGCTGTCAAAATCAGTTCTTCTCTCTGCTGCTTTCAGCTGTCATTTCAGTACAACATCGTTGTGAGCCTCCACCACCCCTTTCACCTGCAGTTCATCATATCCAGTTCCCAGGCTGAGCTCATTAGAAGTCCAGTCCTCATCGCATCCAGATCTTCAGCTTTCTCTTCATTCCTTCATCACCACCACCATCACAAGCACCAGTGTCCAGACTCCATCAGGGGGTTTCCTAATCACGGCTTCACCAACCCCTTCAAATACGATCACGTCATGATGGGGTGATGCACATATCAATTAAATATATTTGTTTATTCAAAAATGATGTCTTTCCTGATTGTATTATTATTATTAACACAGACCAAACTGAATGACCTTCATTCCAAAAGCTGACAAATTAAGATCATATTCTCACCTAATGGATCAGATATATGAGCCATGTAGAGTGAAATGAAACCAGGATCTTTCAGTTTGTTTCTCAGCAGGAATCTAGTTACAGTGGCTGCTGCAGCACTCCTGGGTTTGATTGGATGGGATGTTACCACACGTCAGATGTACAGAAGCCTTGGGCAGCAAGTGAGAAAAAAATGAGAACAATTGATCCAAAAGTGATCCAAGTCTGATCCGAACAGCTTTCTCTCCTGTGTTTATGGCTTAAAATTTCTTTTGGTTTGTGTTTTTGGTTGTTTTGCTGATTTAGGCCACAAGTGGCTGGAGTGCACCACTGCCTGATGTTCTAAATAGGACTAAAAGCATTCATGTTTTCTTTCAGGGGAACTGTAAGTTCACCATGCACTCTAAACACAAGGTTCATACAGTATATTGTGTGTAAGCGCACAATGCATGGAGACATGCTCCCAAAGGCAGTGCTAACATTTAGCAGGTAAAATGTTTACCATGTTCACCATAGTAGTTTAGTGTTAGCATGCTAACATTGGCTAATTAGCACTAAACGCAAGTACAGCTAATGCTGCCGGGAATGTCTTTTATTGTTTTGCGTGTATTTGGTTAAAAAAACGACTAGGTGAACTAGGGGATCGCTAAAGTAATGTTAATTTATTCTCCAGGCATACTGACTATGCAATCCATGCAGTTGTTTAGCTATTTCACTCAGACAAATCAACAAAGTAATTAGGACTCATCATCTGAGGAACACAAATGTCTGTCAAAGAAAAAAAACAATGAATGGCTATCCATACTATAGTTGTTAAGATATTTCAGTCTGAACCAAAGTGATGGAGTGACCAACTGACTAACGAATACTCTCAAAAGTTAGCTTCTAAAGCATATAATGACAGCTGATTTGTCTTTGACAGCAGCCCAATTAAATCCTACTGATATGAAAAGCAACAGGTAGGTAAGCATACACACGTTTATTGGAAACTCTCTAAACAAGAGTGCAACACAACTGATGCAGAAAAGCACAACACACGACAGAGTTACATTCACACACATACACTCAATTGCCTCAGTAGCACTGGGCAATCTGACAGCAGGCTCGTTGAAGCATAAATTTATTGAACTGAACTTGGGATATAGCTCATTCAAACGTCTGATGCTGCATAATGTAAGATTGTTCATTTGCATATGATAAAGAATAATGCAGTATACCTAAATTCTGAGTACAGGGAGGACATTTGTCATATAAACATCCTCAAACCTTCCATTGATGCACTGAATCCAAGTGAAGAGGCAAGTTCCCATCATAGCAACAAAAGTAGGCTCCAACGATCAAACTTTGACAAGATACATTAGGCTCCTTTGTTTTCTCCATGGACAAATGTCACACAGCTGCAGTCCTTTATTGTACATAAAGTATACAAACAGCAAAACACAGCTCAAATAGTTCTCAAGGCCAGACATGCTTATTCATAGAAAACTGTCTTTTCTCACAAATGGAACTGGCATGCCATGAACAAAGATTCTTAAGTCTTACACTCTTTTTTTCTTCAGACATCTATTCATTATAATTGATAATAATTTCATCATTCTTTAATATTTTTGTATACTTTTATCCCATCAGTCTTTGGGATGGTGAAATGATTAAATAAAAAAATCACAGAGTATCCTGCACTTGTTGCCCCTGTGCATCTGATTAAGACATACGCATTATTATATATTTTTTTCTTTCTCTGTAGAAAATTATTGAACTTTCATTTCAAAATGACACATCCACTGTTTGGAAAAAGTGACACCTACTGCTACAAAACCATCTATAGCACCAAATTAAAACAAATCATGGAATGATTTGAAGGGACATGGGAAACTTAAATCCTTGATAAAGCGAAAATACTCACACAGACATTACTTCTAAACAACATTTTTTTTTTCCAATATACACTGTACCATCTAACAGTAGGAAACTAAATGACAAAGTACAAACATCAGGCTGCCAAGTCAGGCAAATGCAGGTCTATAGAACATAATGAATCTGGGTCACAATCATCTCATCTCCAAAACCGCCTCAAGATGTCCAAATCTCACAGTCACAGATCTCCAGGCCTGTGCTAAAAGACTCCAGTGAGTTACCAGTTTCTTTTCAGTCAACTCTCAGAGTCTGGTCAAGTCCCGTCACAGAGTCTGATGTGCAGAGTCGAGCACCTTTTGCCCCTCTGGTGAAAGGTTCGTTCTTCTTAAAGTTCCATTTTGTATTGCATCAGTGTGGGATAAGCCTTGTCAAAAACCTGCACACACACACACACACACACACACACACACACACATACACACACAGTTTTAAGAAGCTGCCAATGGGTTGCATTAGTTATGGAAGCTTAATTGTGGCTCATTTCAGGAAATGATGTTTAAAATCATTTTTAACAGAGAAAAAGTTCCCTTGTCTATTCCTGTGTAAGAGGCCAAATTGTGTCCATAATTAAGCAAACAGCAGCTGAAGGTGCAGCTGTTTCAACCATCACTTTCTACACAGAAACGTGTAGTCTTTTGTAAGTGGAGACGGACAAATTCACAAATAGGCTTGACTAACATTCTGACAGGATAATACAATTACAAAATAACCTTGTACTTTTGGCTTGCTGCTCATTTTATATCACGCTGTTTTGATGCGCTGTCTCTTGTTTTTTCACCCCTTTCTGTGCAAACCATGCCTTTCTATGTAGCGGGGTTGGGTAAGAGGTAAACTGAGATTGCACCTTCCCATTAATGTCACAGCAATGGCAAAAAAGACACAGTAACCGAGGCAACAAAATTATACATAATTTCTAACAAAACTTGTAAGGGGCTACAAATTGCTTTGTTGATGTTAGGGACGCAGTAATCTGGCTATGTGTCATCTCTGTGTGTTAATAAAGCATAACAGGGTGCATACAACCCAAGCAGAAAAAAAGCTACAAACTTTGGTGTATTCTTTGTTTGAACGTGCAATCTCTAAATTAAGTCTGGAAATATTCATATTTAATGGAACATTAATGGATGAATAATACATCAAAATCGCTGTCCAGGGTTTAGGCCTGTCGTCTCCTGAATGCTAGATTGTCTATTTGTGGAACCGCAGTGGGCTGAAAGCCATTTTTCAGTGCTTGGGCAGTCCGTGGGGCACCTCATATAGTCCTAATGTGCTCATAAGCAGCAGTGGCTGATCTCCCTTAATGAGGATTAATGCAGGATCAGATTAGAGTTTGTGCCTGTCCAGACACACTTCCACCACGCCATTCCCACCTGCCCGTTATTGATTGCACTCATTGAGCTACAGTTTGGGTTCATGTCCCTGTGCAACCTTGTGAGAACGTGTTAAATGCAGGGCTTGTGAAAAATAAAGTTGGATGGTGACAGGGAGAGGAAGAGGAATGGGGAAAGGCTGATATGCAGGATTGCACTGGAAAATTAGACAAGCCCAAGAGAATGGGGTGAAATGGAATAATAAAAATCGGGTGAATGTAGAAGAGTTTGGGGAACACTGAATATTGTCATTTTATTGGCATGGATCAGTGCTTTTTCTCCAAGAGTGTATCCATTCTATATGTATCATTATGTTCCTATGGACAGCTAGAAATTATTAAAAGTGAGGAGGTATGAATTGAGAGCAGTGCCCATAGTCCTTGATTTTTTTAACCAACAAATTGGTGCCTTCTGAATCTGCAGTGTCTAAAAGTCTAACTGTAACAGACAGAAAGCTGTTGGACATCTGGCACTAACTGCTATCAAATCCCATAATTCATTGTGACAAATGACATATAACCTACAATATTCTAATAGTTTAACTGGTATGATTTAATGGTTTGATTGCTGTGACATTTCGTGGGATTTCTCGTGGGTCTCCCCCAGCTTACTGTCCCAATCATTAAATACACAGCAGCATAAAACAACCTGCCAACCACATTTCTCATTAAGCAAAGAATTCCAGCAAAAACTGGCAATATTTTCATCTTTCTTCACACCCATTAGTAAGACTTGTTTTTTTCAGGATTTGAACATGTTTTTCTCTCTTCCCTCTCAACGGTGATGTCCCATATTCGTAGGTTCTTCTCATACATCACATCTAAATATAGACTTTCACGGCTGCTGAGCAAGAACCAGATATAGAAAAAAAAAAAAACAAACACAAAAGAATGTAGGTGTCACCGAGACGAGGTCTACAAGTATGGAGATGGGCAAGGTGTATTTCTGTCCATAGGAATGTTTACAAGTGCCAGTCAGTCACTGAGAATGAGGTGGGCTTGGTGGCTTGGTAAGGGTGTTGGGGGGAGTCTCGGTGGTGGCCACTAGTCATACTGGCCCTTCAGTCAAGCCCTCCAGGGGAAGGGTGGTGGCATTGTCAGTGGGCTGCGGGTCGTCCTCTGGATGCGAGGGGGCGTAGGCGGCAGCAGCCAGACTGGCATAAGGCAGGTGGCATTCCATGTGCAGAAATGGTGGGTAGTGCTGGCGGTAGCAGATGTACGCAAATAGCAACCCGATCACTCCTCCAACAAAGGCGTCTGCAACGTCACAAAAACACATATATATTTTAAGGTATGCATCTTAGTTAATTTTAGCCTATGTGGAGGAAGAAAAATAACACCTGCTCTTACAATCAGCACAATTAATTAGCATCAGTGTATGTGCAATAGTGTTGCAGTGAGCATTCATCATGCCTGGCTAGTTTAGAGGGTGATGAAAGTAAACTGAAAGGCAAAGTGATGAATCTGTTCTACTGAGCACTGGGCTCACTTGCCTCTGGACAGGCTGTCTCTGTCACTTTGTCATCTATGCTGAGCAGTTTCGTATTATACCTGGTCCCCTGTAAGCTATAATACATCATACAATATCACACTGCCATAGTGATTATTAAGCCTATATTGCCAGGTATAGATCAAAATGACATGGCCAGCTGGTGGCTAGAGCAGTTGAAGTAGAGGTTTCCATAATATCAAAATTATATTTCTCCATAGGTCTCACCAAATTCTCTTTATTTTCTCCTTCTGGGCGAGATGAAATATAATACAACATCGATTTCGACCATTCAGAAACTACACAATGCATGAGCTTACTCTGTGAATGTTTCATCAACTCCTGTCAACTGAATTTAATAGACTGTGACTTGATGCAATATATTAGTTTGGTGGCCTCATTGAGACAGTGATTGGATGCCCAGCCTTTCCCCCTCGAGGACAGAGCGCACCTCCAAAGTGCAAAGGGATGGTGAGGAATATGAGTATCCATCAAACATGGCTCAGCAGCCAGGCTAATGGGGGCTCCCAGCTTGTGTTTACACTGAGTGCAGTTTGGGGCCCCTCAAGTTTAATGGGCTGCACCATTGCTGCTTACTCATAGTCTGCTGGGGAGAGGGATGAGAAAAAGGGCGTGTAGAGCTAAGAAATACTAAGAGGAATCAGAGAGTGGCCAGCTTGCCTGTAACTACTGTATGTTGTACTTTTGATGTAAATAAATCCTGGTTGTTAAAAGACTTGTCTGTTTTTAGTTACCCTACTCCCCAGGAACATATGGCTCTCTAAAACTAATTAACACCATATGACAGAGCTGTCAACATATTACCACATATTCGCTCCCACACCCCTCCCACATATGCATTCCCTCCCTTCTGTCCCTCCAAGTCTCCATCCAGTTCTTTTAGAACAGATATGAAAAAATGAAGCTTGTAATTATAATTTTCTACCCAGGCTGCTGAATTAAATGCTACCTCACTGTCATCGGAGGCATTATGCTATAGCTGACAGAAAACAGCCTTATAAGACACAATTTTCAGTCTGTTGGGCAAATAAGAAAGCTGCTCAGCCTGATTTTCTGTACATTCTTATGTTTTTTAGACTTGATTTGTCAGTGATGCTGATTAAGTTCAAAATGTGATTACAGCAGTACAGCTGTTTGAAATAACCATTACCCCGAGTTTGCCTCATAAATGATCTGTATAATAATTATAAACCTGCCTTGATGCAGGTGTGATTGAAACAGACTTCTGCACAGCAATCCTTCTCAGGCTGACACAGGCAAATTTGATGTAAGTTAGGATGTCACAGCATTTATTTGACAGCAATTTTGATTGATGCAGGAAATTCATTTTCACGTGTCCTGTGTCTGAGCTGTTAGTTGGACCTTGCCAGTGGTGTTTGTAGTCGCAGGTGCGGGACAATGCAATCATCATAGCGCTGTAGAGAGGCAGCACCATGGCACAGAGGCGCCAGCTACGCCCTCGACCCTGATCCGTAAAACACTGCAGCTTTCCTGCCAGGTAGAAGGAGGTGAAGCCAAGACCGGAGAATGCAACTAGCAGGCAGAGAAGTGATCAGACAAAGAGAAAAAAAAAGAAGAAGAAGAAGAATATTATATACAGCATTCAGATAATTAACTCTTATCATTTCTGTGGCTGTGGAATCTTCTGGTATATCAGCAAAGAAAAAGTGAATTACACTGAATGATGGACGAGTGTACAACAGGTGACATAGAAAAAAATACAATCAACAATGAAGTGGACAACTGCAGTGTGATAACCAAAATACTGACAGAAAACCGTGATGAAGAAACCAGATGGGAGATTTGCAGCTTGTCCACTGCTACCCACTCACAGGTAAGCTCAATGGGGGATATAACAGTCTGTTAGGCAAATACCTCCATGCTAAATCACTGTGCGTAAAAGGTGCCTGAGAGCTGGCGAAGGCAAACAGACCACCAGATCCACACAGCTGTACTAAGCACAACCCACACACTGAAGGAGAATTATTTAGTAATGTGTATACTGCTTTATGTGGCATCAGTGTGCATCCCTGAACCAATACACAGTACAAAATTAGGTTCTTAATGATGTTTCTATGCAAACACTGCCTAACTGAGATAAGAGAGAAGAGTATGTTAGTCCCAAAGCACACCACATGTCAAGATTAGTATAGAGCTGATACATGAATACATAGTTGATTCACAATATTAATATTATCCAGCAGCTCTCCTCTGCACAGGAGACCTGGGAGCCTGAGGTCACAGTGAAAGCTAAAGCCCTGTATGAGAAACAAATGTAATATAGCTGCTGGCCATGTTGTGCTGAAGGTGGTCTGTGTCTTAGACGATGGTGGTTAGTGAAAGAGAAACAGCGGAGGTCTAATTGTATGAATTAAAGGTTGTGTGATGGAGCCGTAAAAGGTGGTGCTGAGACAGGGTCATTAGTTTACTGCTGCAGCGGGCCAAACAGCACCCATCAGCACCCATCAGCTGCCCATTTGTCACTCAACCCACAAACTGGCCAAGAATACTAAGGACACCAGGACACGTGTGTAGCCTGTAGAGAGAGAGAGAGAGTGGAAGGATGATGGGAAGAAATGGCAGAAAAAGTCCAGCTATCTCAGTAGCTGTCCTGCTGTCAGGGAGAAGGAGCTGGCTCTATTAAGAACTCAGCGTTTTCCATTAGGCAATTTAGACCAAAATATTGGATGGCTGGTATAGGCTGATATTGGGTTTTTATTTTTTTTAAATGGTTATGGAATTAACTGGAAATGATGGATGTAATGTACTTTGCTTGATTGCATTCTACTTTAAAATTGACTCTGATATTGAACACATTAGCAGGACTGAATCTAATATGGGATTTTGGCTAAAGTCCAGAAAGGTATGTATGGTGTACTGTAGATTTTCTTGTTGTTTCTCCCCAGCCAACACATTCATGTAGCTCATGTGGGTAAAATGTGGGCAACATGGGCAACTCATGGGCATAGGCTTGAAAAAGTGGGGGCCCCAGAAATGCAGAAATTATGCTTCTGGGAGGATACATGTAAACATTTCTATTTGTATTGCAGGTATTTGGTCATAAACCAAGGTTTTGCAACATTTTAATTTTGATCTGATGACAATGAATTATGATTTATCCTCCAGGGACCTTGAATTTGTATATAGCATCCAATAATTTAATTTAACTTAAAACCAAAAATATCAGACCGTCCACAGAGCCAAAACGGTAAAGTGGATAAAAACAGTACACCAACATCTCTAAACGACATCTGTACAGTTAATATGGCCTAGAACAAGATACGTCTGTCATTAAACAAATGGAACCCATATGGAAAACTCATAATACTGACTGTATGGGCCCCTTTGGTGGCAATACAACCTCACCTACTGGAGACCTTATGGTGGTTTAGTTTGCAAGAATGATGGCCAGTGGATTCTTTTTAATAGCTTAAACTTTAAAGTGGACCAGTTGTTAATAGCCCTTTGGAAACGGATTCCACCAATGTCTGGAATAATCAAGTTAATAAATTCAGCTAGTTACATACATCCATATGGAGAGCAGAGGAAATATGAAATATGCTAAAGAATTAATTGACACCCTGTGGTATATCAAATCCTGCATATATTCATCATCACCACCCACAAACTGTGCCACGTGGGTTTAACATAAAACAACAACCTTTCTGGCTCAGTTCATCAGTCCAGCCCTTCTGTCCGGAGGTCATGAACAAGCCATTTGAGATCCTCAGCCTCAGCATCCCTCAATGCCCATCCATCTCACTTCTGGACGACCTCCCCACATTTCCAATCACACAGCAGCTCACACCATTCATTTTAATAGCTTAAACCAAAGCTAAGATGATTACATTAGTCATTTGGATAGACAGAACTAAATTATCCATGAACCAGTGACTCAGTGTGCTGACTGAACATTTTAACTTTTGAAAACTCACAGCAGTTTTACATAACACAATCCCCTCTCTCCAAAACACCTGGCCCCCGTCTTACGGTTTAGCTTGAGTTGATCCACCGATTAACTGAAATTTTATAACAAAGACATAAATACATATCAATCCATTGCTTATTATAGTTGGTTTTTTTTGTAGTTGTTTCTTCTCTTGTACAGTATTGTTAATCAAATTCATCTCCCAAATTCCATTCCTTGTGAGGAATCCAGCAGGGACTCTAGTTTATTGCTACGTGTTATCATTATTCATTCAGAGTAATGAGGGCTGGAAATTATCCAAGCATGCTTTGAGAGGAAAGCTGTGGACAGGTCACCCAACCCTCAGAGGGTGAACACATTTATTCACCCACAGTCACAGTTTCAAGGTAGACCATTTAAAATCTACAATACAATCCCCCTAACTTATTTGTCTTTAGACTGGAGGAAACCATAGAAACAGTAAAGACTAAAGCTTTAAAATAGTTGTATATGTCTCAGACTGTACTTGCTGCTTCCGTTAGAAACTAGTTTTTTGGGTTATTAGGCATTGTTGATTTCCTGTGTGTAATTTTTTCTGAGTGTGAGGCTTTTATGGCAATATAGGTGGCAATTAAGACAGAAAAGGAACTGTAAATGGAAACTGTATACAATATTCTGTAGGCTGTTTTAGAATTGTAACACAGATATGAAGAGATTTGCAAATAAAACGAAGCAACTGCAAGTGCATTTGAATTTGAAAGGAAAAATGGTTAATTGTAGCAGTAAATGAGCATGTTTTATTTCCATACTGCATAGAAAACAATATGTTTGCACACACAGTGAGTAAACATCTTGAGGATTATACTAGTAAAAATGTTGGTGATATGCATAATACATGAGTGGGGACAGCAAGTAGGTGTCACTCACACGCATGTAAAATTGGCATAATTAACTGAGCCAATATACGTGCAGCGGCAGGGTGATACAATGAATGCTAGGTGTGCTAATAACCACTGAAGGATGCTCCCCAAGAGGCAGCAGGAGTCCCTGAAAGGCCAGAGGACAGAGAGGAGGCCAACAAATGGAAAAACATCCTCGTAATGAATCCACTTCATGCATTTAAAAAGCCTTGAAGAGTAATTCCCTTGAGACAAAACAAAGAGGCCTAATGAGACTGACGAGTGCAGCATGATTGTTTTTTTCATCTTTAAACAAGCACAGTGTTTGTTCAGAGGTTGCAGGTAAAGAAGAACAATGTCTAAATGCTCTTTTTAGAAGCACGACCGAACTGAGATTTTCTGGTGACAAAAGTTTGGAAAAGATGGCTGGTAAAAAACGAAGATGGATGTCAATTTAAGCATGAAAAATTGAAATGGACATAATCTTATGTTATCTTATACTAATCTTATACCCAACTAACATTCCGGCACCCAAATCCAGTTTGCATATCTCAACAACTGTTGGTGGACTGCCATGACATTTAGTACAGACATGTGTGTTCCCCTCAGTATGAGTAACAATGACTTCACACTAGATAAAAATTGTGGCATCATTAGGTCAAAATCTTACTTTATCCAACACTTTGGTTTGTGTAGAAATCCTTGCAAAACAAAAACCATTCCCAACATCCAGAGCTACTTTGTGTTTCTACTAATTAGCAAATGTTAGCATGCTAAAACACTTAATTCAAAAGAGTTAACATGGTAAACATTATTCCTGTTTAACATCAGCGCGTTAGCATTGTCATTGTGAGTATTTCAGCATGCTGGCCTTAGCACCCTTGTGCCTAAGGACAGATTCACAGAGCCACTATTAACTACTATTTTCCAGTTGGTAGCTTCATAATTAGCATTGTACGGTACTCTGAGGGACAGTAGTTTCTGTCAACACCACTCTCAAGAATAGAGAAATGGTAGAAAGCATATTGGCATTCGAAGTGAGCTACACTCCATTCTGTAATTTTTCCACTGTGGCAGTATCTATCTGAGCACTGTATGATTTCATTTTGTATGAGAGTATGGTGGGGATGGTGGTTGGTTGGCAAGAACGGAGCAGACCTCATACAAAGACTTCTAAATGAGATAAGGTGTGAAGCAAGAAAGAATGGGTGGTACCACAGACTGTAAGGTAAAAAAGGAAGCCACAGTAAATTAGCATTGTGAAACCATTGAGGACACATTTTAAAGTAGATAAGTGTTATTTCAAACTTCATGGATTGGGTATAAATTTAAAGAGTGTACAAGAGTCACATTCTAGTCAAAGCCTCTGCAAAGATTTTGGTAATATCAGTCTCTTTACCTTTCTCCCCTTTATTTCTGTTATCCATTATTACACTAACTGACCACAAACAGAGGCATAGTAGAGCAAGGTACGTTGCTCAAAAATAGTAGCAGTTCTCTTTTCCATCTCCCAGCAATCTCCCTTCCCTCTCATTTCTGTTTTAACCTTTGGCCCCTGCAGGGACCAGTGACACCCCTCTGCCTCTTGTCAGAAGCAATGCATATTAACCAACCACTTAGGCACTGAATTTGCTCCATTCATTAATATACAAAAGCCCAACAGTAACTCATTATTAGCACTGTATAATTGCTGCTGCACTCCTACACAAGCTGTTCGTCAACCTCTTCGGACTCTCCAGGTGGACTGAAGTGTGCCTGAGTGAGTTATAGTAAATATATGAGAGCACTTACACACAAATAAAAATAAATTACAGTTATTCAACCACTTCTGAAAAACCTAATCTGAATATCCTGTTACTCAGTAATTACAGACCAATTTCTAAATGATCATTTCCATCCAAGGAAGAAAGTAATTTCAACTCAATTAATAACTTTTATGAACAATAATAACATTTTTAATACTTTCTAGTTGGACTTCAGAGCTCGGCAGCACAGAGAGAGCCCTTGCGAAGGTCTCAACTGACCTACTTTTAATTAATTGATAGTTACACTTTTACCTTTGTTAAATTTTCACCTTATTTTCACCATGAATTCTTGTCCTAGCTTCTCTGATTTTTTTTTTGTGTATCTGCTCTTTTTCTTGTTTGTACCTCGCCACCATTGTGAATGAGGGCAATTCTTCAATGTGTTTTAAACAAAATGATGATGATGAACAGCTTGTAGAGGGCACTGCTCAGTCCTGGTGCTCTTAGATTGAAACTGATGTGTTATTTCTGCACTTCTAGAAACCTGCGTTTGCTACATTCATACCTGCCCAGTGGAACCTTTTCCATGCTATGACAAATTTCACTCCAATTGTTGCTCAGTTTAGCTGTGGTATTCCTCAAGCGTCCATTCTTGGCCCACTGCTGTTCTCAATATACATGCTTTCTCTTAGCCACATCATCCAGACCCATGGTGTTTCCCATCACTATTATACATATGACACACAACTTTAAGTTCCTCTCCAGTCCAGTAACTCCAGAAGCTTAGATAATCTCCTTGCCTGACTTAGCAATAGAAAATGTTGAATGTCTCAAAACTGAATGATGATAAACCTGATTTGATAGTCTTTGGTCCAGCACATTCTATAACCTGCTTCACACAAAGGACCTGCTCTACACCTGCTACATTCATACCTGTCCAACAGAACCGTTTCCATTTTATAGCAAATCCCACTTTGCTGTTAGATCCCCCAGAGTGTGAAACACTCTACCTATTTAAATCTGGCAAGCTTCAACATTATCATCTTTTAAATTCCTTTCTTACTTCCTTTCTTTTATGGAAAAGCGGTTATGAAAATGTAATGTTGCTAGGTTTTATCAATACATTCTTGCCTTTTCACATATTTAACTTTATTTTTTTATTACTTCGTTGTTTTGTGTTTTAGGATCCTTTTGTCTTTATTTTCACACTTGTTTTTACCTCTTTTTTTGTCTGTATAGCACTTTGTAACCTTGTTAAGGAAAGTGCTATATAAATAAAGTTTATCGTTTATTATAGTTTAGAGCACATTTTGCAGAGGTATAATTCTCTCCCTAACTGAACTAATATGATGGACATTACAAGCTATGGTTAATTTAGTTGTGTGTAAGAAGCAATGTAGAGATCCAAAATTGTGATTAGATCCGTCTCACAGGATTCATTATCTTTTAAAAGTGCATATTAATTGATCATATCTAATGGCTTGATATGCACAAGGGTAGATGGTGAGATGAATATGAATAAGAAGAAGCTAATGCTTTAGGGTCTTCTTGCTTTACCGCTGTGTATATTGGTGCAGTGGGTTCAGGGGAGTTAGTATTTATCTGTTTGTTTTCCTCTTTCTGGGACCTGTCTCCTCCGATTTCTGTTACCCTGTTACTTTGCTTTGAGGTGAAGAAAGTAAATCAAATCACAGAGAACCCGAGCGGCTTTAAAAACTTTGAAATGCAATAATAGTTTGCGTGCTTTAAAAAATAGCTGTCATCAAACACTGAAGCCTAGTGTATATTTATATTTTTTGTCCAGGCTGATTCTGATGGATTAGTTTTATTTTTACCATGCAGATTATCTAGCATCCTTTTGGAAGAGGCCAGAGTCTCTGAATGCAAAACTCTTTATTTTACCTATAGTCCATGCATCAAGCTTAATACAAGCCAGAAATGATGTTGTGTTACATCCAGATGCCACTTTGTATACAGCTATATTCACTCTTGCCATTTGTCTGGCCCTAGTCCCTGTCCATTGCCATATTTGTCTGGGTAAAAGCTCTGTAACTTATGCGTGGTCCAACAGGCGTTGTCCTGTTGAAAAGGGACACAGACAGGAAATTGGATTTCTTCTGCTCTCTAGACGTGCTGGCATATGGGTGCTCCCTGTGTCCCAGTCGCACGGTTCTCTCAATCACTTTCTCGCTCACAGTGCAACAACATAAGGCTATTAGAGCTGTCGCGCAGATGAATGTAATCCATAGACAGTGCTGCAGTGAATTACAGAGCAATGTCCCTCTCTGCCACTTCTAATGGGACACAACCAGCACTTCAAAGCATTCCTTTTTTAAAGCAGGTATGTGAAAAGCTGTAAGTATGCAACTTCAATATTATGCCAAAACATCAATTTGAAATCACACTGGACCATGAAATTACAGCTGTCTTTAACATCAAAAAGAAATTTCACCATCTACGCCATCTTATCCATTATGGTATCTTGCTGTGTGATTGTGACACATAAAGAACAATTAATGCCATTGGATTTGATTTGAAGTCTTTTATAGAGTAGGTTAAGGCAGTCACACTCACAGCAGGATGGCAATTAAACACATTCACAAACCATTTCACAAGCATTTTGTTTCTTGCACACACATCTACCTCTCAAGAATACATCTTCCTGATTTACATGTAACATTTTCAGTTTGAAGAGAATATGAAATACAAAACTATATAGGAGTTCAAGATGTTCATAGCACCAAGGCTTTTCCTGTCTTTTACTACTCATAATGAAATGCTTGTTTTAGATGGAACATTTGCTTATTTATGTATTGTATAATGTGCAGCTAGAGTGGAAATGTAATAAGAATTTTAAACAAAAGCAAACAACATACAAGCTAGACACAGTTTGGGCTCACTGGAAGCTATATAGATATATATATATAGATGTAATTTTGCATCATAGATAGCAGAAGGTTCCGTGTACTTCCAATGTAAGCATTTTACTGTTGGTGGAAAAAAGAAACTTCAAAGCCATACAGTCACAAGTGTGTTTTATGTTCAATGGCAACAAAGTAATTAAGTGATATGATGTAGATGTATCTTCTTAAAAGCAGTCTTTACGTGCCTGATGCACCATATAATGCTGAGGTCAACATCTATGTGGCCCAGAGCAAACACTCCATGCATACCACTGAACATTCATCTGCTGGACAACAGAAAAAACATGTGAATTATTTAGCATGCTGCTGAAGTGAAAACAGCTTGAAAAGCAATATGGTAGAAATATTGTCTGGTGTCCCACACTGGTCTGCACAGCTGAACACAGCAGGAAGTCAGATAAAGCTGAAACAGCAGGTGTTCAACACTCATCAGTACACCAGGTGAGGATTGATTGACTCAATCAACCAAAACCATAAGCAAAATTGAGTGATAACTCTGTTACATGTTGTAGTGAACACATTGTACAGTACATACCCAGTCAGAAGCATCAAGATCAGTCAATATCTGCAGTTGTATACAGTTTTAATGAGTCAGTGTGTGAGTTCTGATATATTTTGGCATTGTGTTGCATGTTCTGGCAGTGATCTGCTTGGACTGATAACTGGCACTCACAGGAGGAATGACTGCTGGGGAAGCTCTTGCGTCCCTCTGAGACTAGATCTGGCTCCCCGGTGCACAGCATCTTCACATTTACTTGTCCATCTGGGAAACAGCGCTGGAAGTAGTCGGGCCTGGGTCTAAAAATCAAGCACAACCCAAAAGATGGTTTCTGTGTCTTCAGTAGATAGAATTCCATTTACTTGTCAAACAGTTCATTGACTATAAATCATGTAAGTCAAAACTGAAAAAAATGATCTTCAAAGCCTACAGCTTAACATTTAGCATCACTAACAGAGCCTGTATAATGCTTGTAATTTGTTTAGCGTACCTGCCAACAATCAGCTTGATGGTATTTGTGAAGACTCCATTCAGGGCGAGAGCCAGGGACACAGCTGGAGTAGGAAGATTGACAGACACAATCAAATAAGCATCTTACAGAGGTTTTACTGTATTAGGTGATACAGACAAGGTTGACACAGCATTTTCAATGTAAATAACATAGACAGAAAAAACAGCAATGCTGTAGTAAAATAATTAATTTTACTATCAGTGCAATGCAGGCTCTTGCAGGTGGCCCACTCTCCTGACATAATGTACAAATAAAACAGCCAATTAGGTTCATGGAAATTTCCCTTGCAGCTGGACAGATGGTTGTCAGGATTTATGTGTGAAGCCTCTCATAATTTCTAAGCACCAACAGTAGCAAGCTGGTTTTAAACACAGTGCAAGCTTCACAATCACAAACACACACACAGACACACACACAGAAATAGACAAACACATATATAACAGTAAGGCCTGGGAAGTCTTTTGTTCATCCTAATATAATGAAGCTCTGATTTTGTAGTCCCACTCCTGTGGTGCACACACTATTCCTTTCCAGTAATAGATCCAGTTTAATGTGACTGATGATTAAACAAGGCTGTGAGGCTACTTAGGTACAGTGACGCTATGAGCAAAATGCTAACATCAGCATGCTAATGTTCTCACAATGAAAACTGTTAACAAGCTTATGTTTAGCAGGTTTTGCCATGTTCACCATCAGAGCTCAGCGTGTTAGCATACTAACATTTGCTTATTTAAACACAAAGTAAAGCTGAGGGAGACATGCATGATTAGCAGATTTCATGGCAATCCATCCTATCGTTATTGAGACATTTCACTCAAAGCTGTGCCAGTGTATAGTTTAATGCTGCAAGTTTCTATCAAATCTTTGATTGGGAGAAAAAACAGGAGGCCTGCTGGTAGTTGACAGGTAGCATCATTGGACTGTAACTGTACATTCATTGGATTAGCTATGAAGCAAACCACTGGGGCTCATCATTAGCCAGAGTTCCTGAGCAGACAGGTTAATCCCAGTAGTCTGCAGGTCAATTGAATTCACCCCATGTTGCCAAAGCTCAAATGTATTATCTTCTTGAGCTGCTGAGAGGAGTACAGTGTAAATGTTATTTAACAGCTTGTTAATTTGGGCAAACTATGCAAATAGGTTGAAAGCCCAAAATGAGATCTGTTCCATTTGACCAGTCAAAAAATGGGACATTAAATTTCAATGTGTTCTCTTTGTCAGATCCCTCTTGGTCTGAGGAGGCCTAGCACTATACACATACAACTATGGCTCCAGCTGCATACTCCCATATATAGTCTAGCTTTGGAAAGTTTGCTGATGGTCAGTAAACTATTAATTCATTTTTGAGCTGGCTGAAACCCGCCAGCAGCCCTGACATAGTTTTGGCAGTCTATTTATTTGCACTTACGCCTGTTTGTGAAACTCCTGGCATCAAATGAGACAGTTTCTGCCCAGTTAACTGCAGTAGCATAGCTGATCCAAAAGATCATAATGAGAGACATCCTCTGACCTTGTAGCATATTTGGGCTGCTATATAGTAATGTGGCATATTCGTGCCTTGCGACTTTGTGCCTTCCGTTTAGCCTGGACTTGCCTCTGCTGCTTCTTTTAAAAAGTATGAGAGGAACTGATGTGATTGGCCTTTCTTGAGGCTCGCCAGAAGCACCTGCTGATACTGCATTCCTCCTCCTAACAGTGTATTCAACCTGCATAGGTCTGATTGTGCTTGGTCTGTGCTGCATTAGGACTGTGCTTATGCCTTTGGTCACCAGAAATTGGTCACATTCCCATGCACTTATGCCAGAGTTTGCATTAGTGACTGCACTAGGGTACTGTTTCAGGAACAATTAGACCCCTGTTGAGTAGACAGTGTTCCATCACTTTACACTATAAACTCCCTCTCATTCAGCAGCAGGGTGGCCCAATACTGTAGTGCTGAATATACTGGAATGCTCAAAGTTAAAGTCATTAGACCTAATTAGCAGGGACCACACAAACTGCCATTATTGAAAACCCTCCCTTTGTCTCACTAACTGGAAGATTACTCCCTCTACACAGACCAAACAATAATGGCTCAGCGTGCGACAAGATCTTACACTCAGATGATAAATAATATTCTTCATGCTTTGTAACCAAAATTAAAAAAGATCACTGCAAAATCATCTCTGTGTCTGAGTGTAGCCTTTTGAATAATATAATCACATTTTCAAAATGTCCACCTTCAATCTTGACTGATAAATAATCACACAATTAAGCTGCAGGGGTTTGGTAATGGTAAAGAGGTTATTAGACAACTTTACAAAGGGAACAATGTGTTATTTTTAAGACAAAGAATAGCAAAGAGTCGATGTGCTAGCTCAATGCACTGTATCAAACAATAAATGCACAGTATTAGAAAAACCCAGTCCCACTGGTATTCCAAGAGTAAAAATCTAACTCACACCCATAATTTATTCCAGCTCAATTATATCTGTTTGAAATTTTGATTCATGAATTCAGAAGTAGAAGACCCTCAGGGACAACTTTGAACTTAATAAATTATATTAGGAATATAGGGACAGCTGCTATTCTGTGATTTTTGCTTGCGATGAAAAATAAATAGGTCTGTAGGTAGATAAAAAGAAGCTACTTTTAGACTGCACACCCAACCGAAAAACGCTCTTTCTTTCTCATTATGTCTAGAGGTAGCACTGGTTCAAAGCAACGTTTAAAACTATGATCATGTAGAAACTTGTCAGAATAATGGGCTCCTTTTTATTCTTTGTTCTTCTGAATGATGTTGTTTTTCTGCACGTCTATAACCCTCGCAGAAGTGCTTCACTGCAGGCGATAATAGGCCAGTTAAGTTCTACACAGCAGTGTAATCTCTACACCGATGCACTGAGCCACCCTCTCTCCATCCGATTCATCTCTGTGTGTCTCTTTAATTGGATTTGTGTTAAACTTTCTTAATGCTCTCTGATGTGCCAAAGCCTCTGCAGGCCTCTCGACCAGGGGGGGCATAGCAAATGGGAAAAAATCCGTTTGAGAGTAATGCCCAGATACTGTTTGAGAATTGTACAAATACCATGGCAATTTAAATGGGCGTAAATACTTGTGGCTTCTGTGATTAAGATTCATTTGTGTGGTACCATGCTGACTGTAACACTTTGAAAGCTCACAGTTTTGAAAGATCTGCAACATTAAGCACAATAAAGTTCATCTAGGTGACCAATTAACCCAGGCTTCCAAGTAGAATGAGGGTTTATTAAAAAACTCCAACAGATGCAGTATATATATGCCCCAACTACAACAAATATTCAGTCATCTGAAGACGTCTCACAGGGTAGATTGTGACTAACAGCAAGAAATTCCTGACATTTCAAGTAATTGGCTCCACGTACCTAAACATGCCTCTTTGATCTCTGTCTTGTCCGTCCTCTGAATTATCTTCACCACAAATATCACCGCCAACGGGGTAAGGAATGAAATTGCCTGTGAGGAAAATAAGAGAGAAAAATGTGCAGTTATTGTGACATTAGAGATGCGCCGCAGCATTCCACAGGGTCTGTTTTGCAGGTTAATCGTAATATGACTTTCCTCAGGGAATGACAAGAACCCTATCCATTATTCAGAGTTAATTTTAACAAGACAAACTGTGGAGCCAAACAAGCTTCTTTAGTGTTCACTGAGGCTTCTTGTCTGCACAGAGAAGAATTTTGCCCCTGACTTGATAAGAGATTTGGGCCTCCTCAGCACCTAGGTAATTATTCATGCCTCAGACTGTATTAATTATTCTCTGGCCAAATTCAATATATTTTCTTTGTAACAGAGGTAGTAAAAACAAAGGCACAGTTTCAGTTCCATTTTTATAACACATATTGAATCCCTCTTGAGTGCCGTTCGTCAGTCCAACTGTGTTCACATCTGTGTAACTCTGCCAATTATGAACTCATTTTGTACTTCACTATCCCCTTTGAAGTAGCTGAATTCAAACTTGTAATTGCACTTGGAGTTATGCTTGTAAGTGCTCTAACAGTTACTGCCTGAATTCAAAATTAAATTGGCTACAATTTCTTTATGTGATCACGAGATGGGTATAGGCAGAGTCAAATTGTCACTTTAAGACTTAGATACACTTTACTGCTCATACTGTAGCTATGAACTGCACTCTCTTGTCACCCCATGAATATTTCCCTAGATCCGCACATGCAGATGGAAACATTTAACAGTGCCTTGCTCCGTTGAGGGATCTACTGTATGCTGCATACTGAATAGAACCAGGAGCTTGAATAAGTCACGCTGGCTAAATAGGTGGACAGTGTTTGCAAGAAGCAACCACCAAAAAAGGCCAATAAAAATACTGTTTCCTGCATGGCAAAAATGGATTAAATCAACAAAGCTGTGGCAGCTCAGCAGCTGGTGGCATCCATCATGATTGCCAAAAATGCACCCTGTGTATCAGCACCCTTTCTGTCACAGCAGCTCCCATCACTTCATCACTGAGGTTGTGAGGGAATCCAGTGGCAAAAAAAACATCTATTTCTCTGTTGAAGACTTTCATCTCCTCAGAATGTATGCACGGTGAGACAAATATGCTGAATGGCACCGGTACCAAAGGTGTCCCGTGCGGTGGTTGATTTGGCAGTTTTTGACATTCTCTTTTACAATTTCTGACACTATTTCACTTATAGTAGCTCTTCACATCCTAAAATTATACATTGGCATTCGTGGGAGTCTAATACATTTGTCAAAGATGTGAAGAGTCATATGTAGATGAGGAAAGCAGGATTTAGGAGGATTTGAGTTCCCATGGAAACACATTAAAGTGTTCCAAAACTTCTTAATGGTTTGGCAATCTAAATGATCTTGTCTCATAATATTTTGTGGCAATTTAAAGACACTTCTAAAAGAGCATCCAAGCCTTTCCGTTAATAAAGAGAGCATTTTGCAATATGGCCTTAATTAAGGTTCGTTATACTCTATTACACATTTCTGGATGCTCTTGCATGTTCACTTGACACACCCCTATGAAGACTACATACTGTATGTATGAGTTTAACTTAAGTAAGTAAAGTAAGTAAAGTCAAAGGTCATATGTCTCTTGCAATGTGAATAACTGTAACAACATCTCTTTCACGTGGGTGAAAAAACCAAACAGACATCTCCACTTGTGTAAATCTCATTAAACAATTGATCTGTGGCTTTCACCAAGTGCCTGCCTAGAGGGTTGACTATACTCACATTTGTAGCTCTCAGGAAGATTCCCATTGTCAATAATGTATAGTTCAGCATAAATAATTCTCAGTTTTCAGTTACCTTGATACTTAGTTGCATTCTGTATATCTCTTTTGGAAATATTACTTGTTTTATCTGCTAATTACATGAAAATGGGAAGAGCAAAGATTTCCTTGAAACCTAGATTTGATCTTAAGGCACAGATTTGAGGGCTGTAATCTACAGTATTAGCCTGGTTACACATTCTGCCGACAGAAATGTGACTATACTGATCAGGAGGTTTGTACTCCAATATCACCGGGCCCAACAATAAATAACATTTTTAGTACAGAGAACATCCCTGCCCCTCCCATAATGACAGAATCCAAGAGTGAGTGACTCTTGAGCCAGGCAACCTAATACAGTATATATCTTAACGAAGGTCGTTGAGTCATAATGTAGCTTCATGTAAATCCCCTCTACAGACTATTTTTAATGGCCAGATAAATTCTCCACACCCTCAGGGCAACTGTCAGCTCAATGACATTGAAGAAGCCTGACTGTTTGGTGTCTGTACGGGGAGAATTTTCCCTGAGAGGCATGTCGGTGAGGGGGGGGCCTTCTCTTCCACTCATTATTTAGTGGCCTGCCATAAGAAAAAGATCCATGGACATTGAAGTAAATATAAACTGTCAACATTTTTTATAAAGGAAAAAGCAAATAGAGTGCAGATATGCTGTAGATAATCTCAAGGGTTTATCTATTGCTTTTTGCTGGACGATCAGCACCACAGACGAACGGTGACGAAGTTTAATTGTAGGCGTTTGTGTTTTGTTTGTGTGTTTTCTGCCTGCATTGGTGGAGGTTTTCTATGACTAATGCGATTTAAGTGCTTATAATAAATACCCTATAAATGATTTGTTGATGAGTAATTTAAAGCTCAGTTTTTCTTTTATGAGCAAAACCACTTCTGCTAATGTGTTAACCCCTTGTATGTTAATCATTGGTGAAATTGGTCTGACACAAAGTCTTTAAGTGGACTCAAGCTAATCCTTACCATACAGTATCTACTGTCTAATTCAATCTTGTATTACATATACTACATTTTACAGAATGGCAAGGTTTATTATTGACATTTTTTCTAGCCTAAAACTGTCAGTTAGCGCTCTCCAACTACTCCGCAGCTGTTTCTGCACATAATGAGATGACTGATGTGTGTGGAGGTGCATAGGACACAGCGGAGCACAAGCCAGTCAAATGCTGTCAGTTCACAGAGAGGTGAACAAAGCCAGCAATGGGCAAGCAGGCTATTTTGAAGCAACATCTGCAACAATATCTGCCATTGCTGTCAAAAAACAATTCAAACCCTGCCACAGAGACCTAAATGTGGTTGAAAACGAGAGTATAAGAGAATAGGGCATATAATGAAAGGACCTACTTCTGCCCTAGAGCACCAGTAAGGAAAACACATTTAGAAGGTATTCATATTATAGCAGCTGTAAAAAGCTACTCTGCTCTGTATGAGGCACATACAGACGAGAGTACCTGCTGTTCAGGCTTTCTGTTTAAAGTTACAGAACTGTTACAACTGTTCTATATATTTCCTTCGGCCGGGTGCTGTGACCTCCTGGAGGTTCTGCTGGTTGCATGGCAACCTCACAGGGACAACAAGACAGCAGAAAGTCACAACGCCTGGCTGCTTAGACATAATTACAGCCCATAACTACTCGTACAAACACAACCTCCTGTTTTTGTATGGATGGTTTGTGTATGGATTCAATAAAAGGAGATATAATGTGTTAATAAGTGAGATGTAGATGTGATGATAAGTGCGTGTTTAACTGTGGACAGAGACTACTCTCTATAAATAGATATCTGCATATAAATGTTAAATCCGTAAGGCACCAAGATTCTGGCCTCTGAAGCTTTCTGGTTTCCGTTTGTAGTGAAAGTAGTATTGACCAATCACATTTGACTGGGCTTTGGTTGCCTGCAGGTAAACAGTCCATGCGGAGAGCCAAAGAGCCGGAACGCAGTGGCCGAAATGCAATCTTGGAACCCATCGGCTATCGTCTGCAATAATTTTGTTTTTTATTAGCTTTTTTAAAATGTCTCTGCATTCATATGCCTCCGAGCTTATCAGTTCCTATTGTTGATGTTGTCATGTTTTTGTAACAAAACAAGGACATCAAACTCAAGCGTCTGTGCTGAAGAAAGAAGAAGAAGAGGAAGGTGAAGAGGAAGAAATGGTCCAATGTATGCAACAGTTGTATTGTCTGTAAAACTATAATTTCAAGTAAACAGCACCAAAATGCTGAAACATCTTTCTGCGCAACATAGGGTTAAATTCCAGGAATGCCATGTATTTGATGCTCTACGCAAGAATGCCACATCTGTTACCAAGGGTAAATATCATATAATATAATAACATCAGCAGGCAGGGTTAGATTTTTTCTTTGACTAAGAAAATCTGACTGAAACTGTTAAACACACCTGTGTCACATGCATGCATTTTTTCTAATCTGTTTTTACACTGTTCTGATCTATTCTGTTTGTTCAGACTCAGAGATAATGAAAACTGTTGCACTGATGCCAAAAACATGTGTAGCCCTACTTTTTCCCCCAAAGTAATCAGTAGGAATGGATTGGAATCGATAAAGAATCAGACTGATAAGCAAAATCAATAATGAAATTGGTATCAATCCAATCTCACCCATTCCCATCCTTAAGATGGGAGATTGAACAGAGACAGACTAGCTGTCTTCCTGTCTTAATCGCCTCCTGGCTCTAACATCGTACTTATTGCACAGACATGAGGTAGTGGTATGAATCTTTTCATCAAATTCGTGCTAAGAAAGAAAATCAGCATATTTGCCCAAATGTTTCTTTATAAACTCATAAATCATATTATTAAAATTGTCTCCCAAACATGTAAATGGCAGATGGAATTAGTGGTAGTATTCTCAGGTTTAACAACAGATTGTTTGTTTTGGCATCCTTGGTGTTGTCATATTTTACCATAATCACTCTTTGAAATAGGACTATCTAGTCTCCGTTTTCTGAGTCTGGAAGCAGTGTGTGACAACTGCATTAGAATGAGCTCTGTAATGACCAGTATGGTGTACTGGAGCTAGTGATTGTCGCTGAGAACTCCACTGAGAACAATATGAGGCTTCAATATGTGCTGGATAGAAGTGTTTGCCAAGAGATTCTTTAGGTTATTTGCTCAGTGTTCAGTGCTCATGAGCCAGAGGAAAAAATATTTTCAGTCTGTGCTGTGTTGGTTGGAAATTCATCTTATCCCTGCACCGCCCACTTCTATTCAAGAGGAGATTATATTTACATTGGAAGCGCTAATCACCGCAGTTCCGTTAATGTCCTTCTCATATCTATCAACACTATTCAGGCCTCACCTCAACAGTGGAGAGAAGAGGCTTTGCAATATTGATCGTCATAAATGAAGGATTTCTGCACCACAAAGATTACTAAGAATTAAACATGGGATGGGGTTCAATGATTGCAATAATGACCAAGTATTTAGTGGCAATCAAGTCTGTAATAAAAGGAATATATAATTAGACAGCAGGTACTTACGAACATGACCCTCTTGGGAATGTGGTCTGACTCAACTAGAGGATTCTTGTAGAGCCAAAGCTCCTCTGGTTGAATCACCCTCTCAAAGGGCTCCAGGAACTCTGTAAATCTGTGGTAAAGAACAAATGTACACTGATCAGTTAGTCATTTTTAGACATTTAGCAGATGCTTTTACACAGGGCAGCATACAATGTACCATGTGATTATTGTTATGATATCATGTGATTTTTTGTGCAGTCTGCCATGTAGTGGCTTTGAAGGGCACAGGGAGAAGAGGACCTGTTTGTTCTTCCACAAGGATAAACTGAGGCCATGTAAGCAGGGCGACTTAACCCAAGATCACCTACACTGAAGAGCACTGCTGTTTCACACTCTCACAGAGCGTGAGACAAATTAGCATGCTCCTGCTTCCTCCAGCCCTCCCTGGCCACCCAGTGATCTGTCAGACACGACCTTGTTCTCTGTCGTCTCAACGTCTTTTTGTCACTGCACTCTAAAACAATTCAATAGGCTGCTCTTTCGGGTTTTGAGAATGTACCACCTAGGGCTATAGAGAGCTCCAAATATTTAAAACACTAAACACAGCAGAAATAGTGTTGCTGAGACATTGTCTTCTAGCAATAAAACACTATTAAAGAAATTCTGTCACTGGGATCCTTTGGAATTAAAATAAGGGAGTGAGGAAGGCATTACTAGTCTTCCAATCGACTATCCAATCAGAAGTACAGCTGCACAGTCAGGGGTGCAGCTAGAAATTCTGGGACCCCTGAAAACAACTTACTTATGACCCCAAAATAGTACATTTCTGCAAACATGTTCCAGGGCCTGTGTGCTCTGAAGCTCTGGGTCAAATGAATCATCCTTTCATTTTGAAAAATATTGTAACAATTTCCACTTCTATATGATTAAAAAGTGTTCCTTCACAGTTAAAAATCCACTCAGAACATATTTGGAACAGGATAGGTGGTGTTGATGAAGTGGTACTTCTGCTTAACTGAAGGGGTTGTTGGTGTATATCAGGGAACCACTAATGTTAATGAGTATATTCTATAAATGGAGGATTATTATGCTACCTGGCTTGCTAGCAGTTTAACAGCTCAACAGTTAAATCTATTCCATTCATACATACATAGAGGGAGGGACGGCTGGTATATATGGGCTAATAGGGCTAAGCCCCCCCCCTATCTTTTACAGTAAAGATGAAAAACTATTATTAAAAACCTTAGAACATATTGTTTTGAATTTTGGTAGAACCTAGAGCAGCAACAGCAGCAAAAAGTGAAAAACCCAGGATATACGATATATCTTGGGTTTTTTCCTGTGAATGGGCTAAATGTATTCAGCCCAAGCACAGTAGAGTAAGCTTCCATTGATTGTGATTGACAGGTGTCGTGACACGCCCCCTTCCTATGCTGCCCATTTGGGCTAATTTCATTCAGCCCAAAGGCTGACCTTCGACCAATCACAGTGCAGTAGCTACAGTACAGGGACCTTCGACCAATCACGGCGCAGTAGCTACAGTACAGTGACCTTCGACCAATCACGGCGCAGTAGCTACAGTACAGTGACCTTCGACCAATCACGGCGCAGTAGCTACAGTACAGTGACCTTCGACCAATCACGGCGCAGTAGCTACAGTACAGTGACCTTCGACCAATCACGGCGCAGTAGCTACAGTACAGTGACCTTCGACCAATCACGGCGCAGTAGCTACAGTACAGTGACCTTCGACCAATCACAGCGCAGTAGCTACAGTACAGTGACCTTCGACCAATCACAGCGCAGTAGCTACAGTACAGTGACCTTCGACCAATCACGGCGCAGTAGCTACAGTACAGTGACCTTCGACCAATCACGGCGCAGTAGCTACAGTACAGTGACCTTCGACCAATCACGGCGCAGTAGCTACAGTACAGTGAGGCTAGTTCGTAGTATGGCGGGCGTTAGCATGAACATGAACGAGGTGGATTATTTACTTTCTAATCAATTTTCTTTAAAGCCTTTGGAGGAAAAAATGGAAATACAGAGATTGGGAACACATCATCCAAACGATGTTCAAATAACACAAAAGGACAAATGACAAAATCGGAATTTTGTGTTCCGTGGTTTCAGCTAACGGACTGGCTAACAGCAAGTGTAGCTAGAAATTCACTTTTCTGTTCTGGAGACTCGGTTTGGACCCAACAAGGAATTGTGGATTTAAACCATTTATCCGACAAAATTAGGAAACATGAATGCAGCACGAGCCACATTGGAAATAGCGTAAAGCTGTCATTGCTGGGTAAAGTGAACATCGCCTGTCAGCTTAATGAGGGTCACTGCATCCTGTACAGAGACACAACGAGCTGGTAAAGAAACACAGACATTCACTATCACGGACTGTGGACTGTATTATATTTTGTGGGGGACACAAGCTTGCCCTGCGGGGGTCCGACGAATCTCCCACTTCACTCCAGCGGGGACCAGTTCTCTCTTTTAGACAGTCAATTAGCTGATCACCTATCAAACACACAGGTTGCAAAGTACACGTCTAAGACAGATTCTCTCAAAACGAGACAGGGCCTGGAGAATGTTTCGTGCTCCGTATCTGAACTGCTGACCACAGATGACAATCAGCCACATCCAGATGCGGACACAGCTGCAGCCGCTGTAACGCCGGGCAGGATGCGGCGCTCTGATAATGTGCCAGTAGTCGCACAGTGTGCTTTGACTTAATGGTCGAAAAGTCAAAGGCTTGCTTTGAGAAAGCCAGGCGCTTGTTGTCTTTGCATGTGCACATTAGCCAATGATCTGCAGAGAGACACTGAAAGGTGAGCTGATGGTGAGGTACAGCAGGGTGGAGTTTGACATGGTGATTAACCTGTTTGCGTCGATGTGAGCTGTGTTTTAAATAAGGTATGCCCAAGCTCTGAAACAACTCTCTTCTACAAATAATTAGTTTTGCTTTGGTTTTATAGATTTATTTCTGGTACATGGTGTTGCTGGTACTTTTTCTATAATGTAGTCGTAGTGCAATTGGCATGTGCTGATGTGTACAGAGGAGAGAGAGAGAGATTTTTTTTTGGCATCGGGTCTTTCTTTTGGGTTTGTCTCCCCAGTGTTGCCGTAGAGCCCTTGCTATAACAAAGTATACAATGTTATTGCTGTAACTTGATGTGATGCTGCTGTTGCTGCTGTGTGAACGTATTGATGAGGGTAATGCATTTGTTAGCCCACCCACCCAAAATCTCCACCAGCTGTCACTGCATAGAGGTACTGCTTAAACCAAACTTATATAAATATATTCTAAATCATTAAACATGTTTTGACTTACAATCATATAAATCGTATGAAAAAATAAATAAATAATAGCAGGTGAGACGGTTTCAATCTCCACATGAACTGCTTCAGTCTAAGTGGAAATAGTGATGCTCTACCAAAGAACTACATGCCCTTCAGCAAGGCATTTATCACACATCTGCTCAAGCAGAGCTGCTCGCTGGCCAGCGGCAGAAGCATGAGGATGTCCTGGATCCTGTGCAGCTCCACAGTGTGAATCTAACTGTGGAAATGTTGGCTAAAAGGCACATGCATCTTCTGCAAATTGTACCCAGATAAAAATGGATTACTTTACAACAGATGTTCTTACTTTCTCTCTCTGCAAGCTACAGGAAAATCAATTATACGTTTTTAATCTCTCTAAAAGACATGCGGTGCATTACATGCTGTGGAAAGTCTATTTGTTGGTCCGCTGATAACTATGTGTCATGATGTTTTTACAAGAGAGCAGCCTAATCAGTACTAGCTCATTTTACACCTTGCTGAGCCCGAGTGCATGATTCACTTCAGCCGCATTACATTTACGGTATGAGGTGCACAATAGATTACACTGTGCTAATGATACACAATATGCTTCATGAATTACTCCATTTTCCCAGCTTGTCCTCTCTTCAGCTCACTTGTTCAGACATCAGAGGAAAGAAGGGTTATTTTAGTCCCCAGGGATTAAAAGCAGAGAGATAGAGCATGGACAGATAGAGTCAGTCAAGGCAGACCCCCACCTCAACACACAGACACTCCCCATACCTCCTCTCTTATGAACACAGACGCAGAGCTCTCAGGTCATTAAATACTGCAGCAGTCTACCTGTCACTCTGCAAGGCTTATCTTAATGCAACTCCAAATGTCTTAATGAGTTTGAGGCACAGATTCCCCAAGGTAACTACATAGATAAAATTCATATTCACATCAGAATGGACATAGCATGCACAGACTTGCTGCAGTGGGACAAGAGACATGGGCCATTCTCAGGTTTTAAAGGTAACAATCTTTATGAAATCAAATCCCATTTTGATGAGTATTTATGGACTGTTTTTTCTGCAATACTCATTCAGTGTATTTACATTTTGTAATTCCTTGTCTATAACGTAGTTTTGATTAGTAGTGGCGGAGTCTGCCATTCTCGGGTTGGGATCAGATTTGACTTTTTAACCCTCATCATACAACCATAAATGTTAGGAGTAATTTATAAATGTTCATCATGGTTCACCAATGGAAAAAATCAACATCACCTTGTTTACTGGTGTTGATCACTTTCATAAGCTCAAAATTCAAATGCCTTTTGGACATGTAATTATATTCCTTCTTTAGAAGAGTTTGTATCCAATCTTCTCCAACAAATCAATACCGCCCTCAGGATTTCCCTTGGCTCGAGATTCAGATTGAGTTTTAGCCTCATCTTCTCTTTTCCAACAATAAACTTTATTAAAAGACAAACTCCAATATGGTTTGGGCGCACTTTAAGGGCTCCAGGCTCCAAATGTCAAACACAGATGGAATAAATCAAGGCTTCATCCTTGATTCCATGGACAGAAGAGCCTAGCCTCAGTGTGAATTAATTGTAATTTACAGGTTGAGATAAAAATAGCTGATGACAGAGGATGCATTTTGTCTGTGTGGGGAAGGAAGGACAATATGGATTACATTCAGATAAGAAGAGCTAATGTCAGAGCTTGGAGAGGTAATGACATTCGCATGCCCCCCAATTTATCCTGCTGGGAAATAATTTTAATCACATTGATTCAAAGAGAGATACAGGGTGGAAGATGATGGTGGACTACATTACAGAAA